AGAGATATTATAGAAAAGGAAATTATAAAAATTGAGAAGATCTCTACTAAGTGTAATCCAGCAGATATGAAATACTTCTTTTATATAAATTTAGGGGTTTTTTAAACCTCCTAAATATTGTTACTAACTAATACTTTTGCAGGTACACGAGCAAATGAAACCAAAGTGTTAACATCTAATCCACATAAGACCCGATGATGTCAAGCAAGGTGGAGATTGTTGATCTATGCTTAACATCCCGTGTGTTCAAACCAACTATGTCACCCCAATTGCTCTTAAGTGAATGTGACCCGGGAATCCCATTATTGTTCACTCTCGCGTTTTTTATGAAACACGTTTTTTGGTTGTTGAAAGATTATCTGAGATTGTGACACGTGGTGCTGGCACAACCGTTGGATGTATGGTGACTTTATAACTATCCAGATACTTCTATTTTGACTGGACGATTCATTCCTCTTCTAGGGTTTTCTTTCCTTCAACTTTTGCTCTGTATTTTCTCTCTACTGAAATGGTGTTCACTCTATAATCGTTTAGGTTAGATGATCTGTGTGATATCTAGTGTTGATTATAGTTGTTCTAGTCGTGTTTCCTCTAGTTCTTGGTGAGCTGAAGTGTTGATTACTTGGTGTAATCTGAAATATGAGAGTTTTATGTTTGAGGGTTGAATCGAGACATTCTTGGATCTTTTATTCTTGTATCTTGATAAGTTCTTCGATTTTAGTGGATTAGAGCGGTATTCACTTAGGTGAATGCTCAACGGGTGAGTAGCCAATTTCTTGGTGAACATCCGGGCCTTCGGGCGAAAAATCTTTGTGTTCTTTGTTGTTCTTGTTATTTTTGATATTATTGGGACTGTAAAATACGAACATTATATTCCTAATTTTTTTTGTCGCATTTTTATAATATGCCTTCAATTAAATTAACATATCTCATCTTTGTTAGGATTTTTTTTTCCAAATATTCTACAAACATGCACGGTAAGTTGTAACTAATTAGGGACAACTATTTTTCAAGTTTTTGTACTTGTTATTTAATTGATAAAATTGGAGATATCTAAGCGGCTAAAGTCATTCATCATTTCAAGTATAGGTCAATGATTTCAATCTATCTCTGGGATTTTCGCTTTTGTTGAGTAATATTTCTTATATAAAAATATGAGAGCCGAATAAGTGTATTTATGCCATAATAACGATTTTTTTTTGGTTTTTGCCAGAAACCATAATTAGAGAAGATATGAGAAACTGGTAGAACTAAAAAATAAGATTGTGATAAAAAAAAAAGTTGGAAAATAAATACAAAATGAATAAAAATTAAAATATTTGTTGTAATTAAAATGTGATGCATTGACAAAAATGGTAATTTGAATATAATTGCCATTCCATTAATTTCCAAAAAAAAAAAATGTTCATTTACTAACAAAGACTTTTTGCGCAAGGGTGTAACACTGTAACTTCACCCCTTATGAGGTACAAAAAGGTTACTTGTACAAAAAAAATTTGACAAAAAAGTTGACACACTCTCACATAATGCTGGCCCCCAAATGTATAAAAAATTGAAAAAAAAAATGTGGGACCCCCTTGCTGTGAGGGCCGGTCATCACTTTGACCCGGTACAAAGGGCAGTCCTATGAGGTAAAACCGTTGTTCGTATACTCGGCTCGCACATCTATTCATGGTTAACGTACTAAATTAGGGATTTAAAAGAAAGGGACTTTTCAATTCTGCAAAATCCGAGGACTAAATCCATCGTCAATCTGCCCGTAACTGGTAATTCTACATCCACCTCTTCATCCAATCTCTGTTTCCAATTGATTGCTGACGTAAATAATAAGAAATTTCTTATTTCTATGATTGGATTACGTCAGGGTTTCAATTTTCTATGGCACAAATTACACTCCGTAGTAAACGGTGAACCTCATGAATTCGAGTTGATTTCTTGATAATTTAAATTAAAACAAGAGAATTAAACCGGAATTTCAGATTGGATAATTCAGATAAGCGAAATGAAATTTCAAAATTTTATTTTTATGACTAGGTGTGAATGGATTTATTATTAATTTGATTAATTTCTTTTTGGTGGATTGATTTTGATTAGTGAATTCTACACAAGATGCAGTTTCTTTTACTGTTTCAAATTTGACGCGACTGAATGTGAAAATTTTCTTATGTTGGCTGGTTCTGCTTGGGTGAATTTCTGGTGCAGGTGATTACTGCTTAGGAGGTAGAATTTATCTGTGCTGTGTTGATTAATGGGTGCACCTAAGCAAAAGTGGACTGCAGAGGAAGAAGGGGCTCTTAAAGCTGGAGTCCTTAAGCATGGCCCTGGAAAATGGCGTACGATTCTTAAAGACCCTGAGTTTAGTGGAGTTTTGTGTCTGAGATCCAATGTTGATCTCAAGGTAGAGATCATTTCTCAATCATATTGTTCCTATAAAATTGTTGACAGCTGTTGGATTATAGTTTCAAGCTATAGAAATGTTTATGCCGTCACAAAAATTTTGGTAGGATAAGTGGAGAAACATGAGTGTGATGGCGAATGGATGGGGATCTCGGGAGAGATCTAGATTAGCACTCAAGAGGATGCATCAGGCACCGAAACATGGCGAGAGCTCAACAGCTCTTACCAGTGTATCTCAAAGCGATGAGGAAATTGATGATGCTAGGCCTCATGCAGTTTCTGGTGGTTCATCACCAATTGATGGCCCAAAAAGATCTATCATGAGGTTAGACATACTATGTACAAGTTTGGCGCATTTTTTTTGTTTATATTCTTTATGCTAAGTAGCCCGCACTTTCAACTTAAAAGTTAGAGATATAAGATATTCTACACGTACACATTTCTAGCATCAGTGCCTGGGTTAGCTGTTACTTCTATATTCTTCTAGGCATGTGCAGAGGTGGTAATAGCTGTTTTGAAGATGGAAATAATGTAACCTAACTGGAACTGTTTAAAGTTTACATGCTTTTAGACACTGCTTTCCAATAGGCAAGATCAGATTTGTTTCTAATACTCCGGCAGTATCATATTTTGCAGTAATATTTCCTAAACCTGTATAGATGGCAGTGAATATTAT